AAAAACAGTTAATATTCATGTTCTGATTATTGATTTTTTAATATAACTGCCTTAAGATCAAATTTCGCCAAGACATTTCAGTGCCTAGGTTTGCATTTGTGTTTGCTTCACAGCAGAGCCAGGTTCTGGTTTAGTTGGGGGAGGCGTATGGAGAACAGAGACTGACTAAATGGGGAAATGATGCAGTGAAGATAGATGAAGACCAGATAACATCGCTGTGTACTACAATGGCAGTAAAGAGTCTGAACTGAGAAACGCAGTGGGAGAACGGAGTCACCTTGTGGCACACACAGCACCTGGCAGATGTATGCAGAACTCAAAAGAACCTGTGAGACAGCACTCCACACACAATCATGTTACAACTGACAGTTTTGTTTCGGTGAAATGTCATCATCCATCATATTTCACTAATGTTATTTTAAATTTTATTGGTTTTATAGTTTTGCTCATATCTATAAACTTCTTTGGGTTTTATACTTGTGCAAGAGCTATAAACATAAAACATTATATGTAGCTTTATGTTCATATATACTTAGGTAACATAAATAATGGAGTAAAAAGTGAGGAACTAAGAGAGCCTTTCTTTATTAAAAGGGGATGTGCATTATTTAAGTTTGAAAAACATGGCTTAATACTGTACTACTTGTGCGCATGGGCGTCAGCAGGTCATTTAACCTCTCTATCACCATCTTACCTCATAGGATTTGTAGGATTAAGTGAGATAATGAAAGTGAGTGCCTGGCCCACAGAAGGGATTAGGACAGTTGTTGTCTCATTCTTCAAAACAGGGAAGATACAAAAGCTGATATAGTCCAGCTCTTTTACTTGTGGTCTTGGGACTAGGAGTATTGATAATCACCTGAGCTTGTTAGAAACTAAGAATCCCAGGCTCCACCCCAGAGCTACTATATCAGAATCTGCATTTTAATATAGTGCCAGCTGATTTAATATATGCACATTAAAGTTTGAGAAGCACTAGTCTAGATTCCCCACAGAGAAGGCTGGCAGTAAAATATACTGCATTTTGTACTACTATGTAGGTTAATCTCAGCGATTAGAGAAAAGCCAGGTATAAATGACCAAAACAGACTATCCTACCCTGGGGTTCAATATATACATTTTACTACTAGTTCTTCATAGGCTATATATCCCACAGAGTGGGATCCTCTTCAAATGGGATCAAACTTCTAATTCAGAAAGACTAAAATAAATTTTTAAATGCAAAATATTCATAAAAGCATTCTGAATAAACAAATTTTAAGATCACGTCAATTAAACGTTTTTAGGTCTCCTGTGCCCAATAGCAATTAAAATCATTTACGTATGTTAAGCTCATAATTAAATATTTTGGCCCACAAGAACTAGTCTGACAAAGTACTGGCTCTGTTTACAATGACTGTGTGCTTACACTAGCAAAACACATTGCAAAAAAAAAAAAAAAAAGTATGACTTTGTATATGAAATGTATTAATTTTAACTGTTCAACAAAAATATTAGGTCACATCCAGTAGTTACGATTTTGTTAGTGTAATTCACCTAGAAAATATCTATGTTTTTCTCCTTGAACTCAGTGGCCCTATACATTTAATGCTTACTTCACTTAAAAAGATTAGGTACTGTTTCTGGAAGCAAAGAAAACAAAATTAACAACTAATATCCAGGAGAGCCAATAATATATAAAATGACCTTGATATCATCCGCTTAAGGGCTATTTTGATAGAATCCAAGCTTGAACTATGTTATTTATTGCTCTATGTTCGCTACATATGGGCCATAGAAACCACATTTGAAGACTGTAATGCAAAGTAGATTATCATGTGTATGTGCATGTATGTATGCATGTATGTATGTATGTATGAAGGTATATATGTACATGTGTGTATATATGCATATGTAGATACGGTTTGGTCTACTAGGCAATTTTTATAATCTCTGTGTATCTGATATGACCTAGGTCAAAGGTAGAGTCCTCCTTTAATCTTTCATGGTTTCAGGCAATCCTGAACCAAGAGTCAATCATAAACTGCGAGGTCTATTAGTGCCAGTATAGGTAAAACACTCTAGTCCATGGTGACTATGATGACTGTAACTTAATAAGAGAAGGACAATCTGACACTCCTGGTTAACTCCAATTTTAGAAGTGTATATGCTATTTTGCAGTCCTTTGGGCCCTTAATACAATCAATCCACTGTTCTTAGAACCATACAATCTTTCTCTTTCTAGTACTTCAAATTTTAATAATTTCATATAGTAATCAATATAAACTCTATATATACATACATGGACAATCCAGGGAAACACAAAGAGATATTTTTAGCTTATACTGAAACTATATTATCATTTTCCTATTAGCTATTGCAAAGAAAAGAAACCATTATCTACAGTTTGAATTCACTGAATGATATCTCAGCAAACAGAAAACAGGTAAAAAAAAGGCAAGCCATGTTTTTCTACTAGAGTGGTTACACACGTCCCTCTCTAGAAACCCAAGATATTTTAATCCTTCCAGATTTCAGATATATGATAAAAAATCTATACCCATTTTTCCTATCAAAAATACTCCAAAAATCCTCTGTTCCTTAGTCTGAAACTGGATCCCTTTGAGAAAATAAACACAATAGGGTACTGGCCAACGAAATAAGATGTGTATTAAAGAAAAGAAAATCTTAAACCACTTGGTCTCTAAGCCTTAAGAGAGTCTAATAAAGACAGTTTTTTTTTGAGTTTTTTTTCACTGTCAAGAAACTTGGATATAGGTAAGTTAAGAAGAATCCAAATATATGCTGAAGAAAGGTACTTGTTTAAGAAAATCCTATTATGCCTTGCATGAATTAATGAATTTACTTAATATTTTGTATGTTGTTTCTTACTCAGTTCAACTAGCATTTGGCATGACCAAAGTTTAATTAAATTAAGGAGTTGGTGGTGCTTTGAATTAACATCAGATGCTAGTACTCATCTCCACCCAGTCATCCTTTTATCCTCTAATGTGTCTCTGAAAATGGCATGTGTTCTCCAGGCAACCCAACCTTTTGACAAAGGCAGATATATACGGAACGTTACATAATCATTTCATTATCAAGGTCACTATCTTCCTTTGGTAGGATTTAATACATTGAAACAACTTCATTACATAACACTTTAGATAGCTATGAAAGCATGAATTTGGTCCCATACCAAATTTAGTTTCACTGAGAAGTGCAACCCTTATCTAGAGTCACCATTAAATTATAAAATGCAGTAAATACATATATAGTCCCGCACTAACTTTATACCCTAAGACATCAATTACATGAGAATCTCACTATATATAGAATCCTGCTTGTGTTACTAGACATTAATATACTCATAAGGACTCAAAGGACATTCTTTCAAAATTATTGCCTATAAGAAATTCTACACATCAATTTTCTTCCTTTCAAATGGCAAAGTAGCTTGCAGCCTCTATTATCTATACAGAAAATGATTCAGGCCAAATGCCAATTTGAGATAGCCAAGGCCACTTTCAAAAAAGAAAGGTTGGCATATTTTTATAATTGCTCCTAGTGCAAAGATACCTCAAATATGATCAAACAATAGACTGGAGAAGATGAAGGTAATTTTTCAGATTTTTAAAGCTCAAGGCTTAAGGGACTGAAAGTCGTGTTGTCTGAGAGGAAGCTTACTAGTAGACATCTGACTGGCTGTCTGGATCTGATGACCTAGGGAACGTAACCTTCACCCAATAAGCATATATAAGGAGCAAGTGGCTTTGATTTCTGACACAAAGCAAATGTGTCTGTTTCATGCAAAAGATATGAGTGCCTATGGAAGGAATGTAAAGCCCCTTTTGTTTGTAGGGGAAACAAAGAACAGGGCTAATACAACTATAGGGGGATTTCTCTGTCATAAAAGAAGTGTTTCTTTTATCCACTTAAGAATTAATTTGGGCACAGAGGAATGGGACCTTTGGAAGCACTGATCCTGAACACATTAGAACAGAACAGTTCTACTTTTTCTTCTCTGAACTGCCAATGTACATGATGGAGTGAGGGAGATAGGGGTGGGTGGGTGTAGGAATCAAAAAGAATATGAAGACACCCAGATGGAAATGATACTGGTTTGACCTCAATTCAAGAAGAAATGTTTAAAATGGCTAACAGATGCCTCTTGTTAAAGTGTAGCACTGGGGGAGGAGGAGGCAAGAAGAAATTCTGGACAAAGTAGGAAGGAGGTCCTCAGAGTTGGGATTTTTTAGTAACAGCTCTTGTCCCAAGACAAGAAAAGTCACTCAAAATGTGCCAAGGCCAAGAGGAGTGCCTGGTAGTACGCTCAAGTACATTTAGTACCACTTAAAAACTAACTGAAGTGACACCTACACAAACTCCCTGGCATTTTTGCATCTGAAGACATCACAAGCCCTTTCTACATGCTGGCCTTATGATACCTCGGTAAGGCCCGTATCAGAATTCTAATTTTTATTCATAAGCGAGCTAAGGCACAAATAGAGCCTGAGTGGTAACAGCAGTCTGCAATTTTGTTCACTGTAACACACTTCCTCCATTTTAACATAGGCAACTCTAGAGACACTGTGAGGAAATGTCCTTAGAGGCAGCAGCTGTAAAGCCCAACAAAATCACAAGTCTGGGGAGGTAGCGCCCTCTCTAAAGGCTCAGTGATGGAGTTCAGGAGATGCCTTTCACATAAGAGTACTAATGAGTGCAGTCCTTTAAAAAGGACACCAAATCACCCACGAACACAGGAAAAAGGCAGAAGATACAGTTTTCTTATTTTCCCCCACTGTTGAGACTGGAACAGTGGCAATTTTAACAAAACATATAATCCAAAATCTTAATCTTCACTGGTGCAGTAAGATTCTAAGACCCATATTTTGCTAATGATTTCAATGTTTTGATCAGATGCATTTCCACATCCTTGATCCCAGACAGTTCTCTTCTACCATAGCCAAATTATCTGTATGAAATGTAATGCCAGGATCTGAAGGAAAGAATGCATACGGTCAGCATACACTGGTTCTATATATTTTGAGAAACACTTAAGTACACAAAGGAAGCGTGCAACGTTAAAGAAACGGCGTAAACAATACTGGTGGCTTGTCTAATGGGAAATCCAGTGTCCTTTCAGGAAACTGAAGATACTCAAAAGTTGCTCCCCAATTTCTATTAACAACCCTCTAAAAATGAACATTTTCTTTTGATACAAATATACAAATTTAAAATAAGTGTGCAGTTCAGAATGGCCTACCATTGTCAGATTGCTTATGTGCCAGAAAATATACAGTTAATAAAAAAATACCAGAGAGGTGGGGACAAAAGGCTCTCTGGATCTGAACAGCAAAAATGAATTTCACTTCAATAGGTAGCGATTCGTGGAGAAAGTGATGTCCTTGGAAACCAGTAGCACTAAAAGACGGCAGGTCACAAATCTGGTGATGGGGGATAAGACGTATAGTAAGGCCCATTTTCCTGTGGGAGAAAAAAAAAGACAAGAACATTAAGTAATAAAACCAATTTAAATGGGAATGTGAAAGAAAAGGATTTATAGTCAATGATAGCACATTTGTAAAAATGTCTAGCTCATGCCTGACCCTGAGCAAGGTGTGCCATCAAAACGATTCCATTTCAGTCAGTCAGAGTATAAAGTGGGCAGAGGTCATTAGGATGATAATATTCTTCAATAACATTATTCCTTACTGAATATTCTAAATGCCAGATACTTTATAACAGCACTTTTCTTTCATTATCCCTTTATATCCTTATGTAATGCCATGAGGTAGGTAACCACTTTTTGCAGAAGAAGAAATTGAGGATCACACAGCTTGCATAACTCACCTAAATTCACCTAGTAGTAACAAGGAGTCTGAATTGAAATCCTCGTGTATTCAAATCTAGCGCCCAGATTATTTTGTTAGACTGGATTGTCTTACTGCATACTGAACCTTAATATAGAATGATGGAACAGAAGAGTACATTTGAATTTTCTGACTTCACTTTGTCTAACTTTATCTTAATAAAAGTGAAGACAGTTAATTTGATGGTAGATGGACCTTTGATTACATTTATGGGACTTGGGATTCATTTCTCTTTTTTTTTTTTTAAAGACTTTATTTATTCACTTGACAGAGATCACAAGTATGCAGAGAGGTAGGCAGTGACAGAGAGGAGGAAGCAGGCTCCCTGCTTGAGCAGAAAACCCAATGTGGGGCTCGATCCCAGGACCCTGAGATTATGACCTGAGCCGAAGGCAGAGGCTTAACCCACTGAGCCACCCAGGCACCCTCATTTCTCATTTTTAAGGAAAGTATTTGATAGTTTTTCAGTAAACTATAAACAGAAATATTTAGCATTAATGTAGATAATAGGAATAGAGAATGAGACACAGCTGAAAGTAGCATTGCTTTATGGTATATTTACACTATTGGTTATGATGGAGCATTAAATCTAACTGGTTTTGAAAAGAGTAGGTGGATAATGTTATTTGAGTAACTAAGGGTATCAAAAACTTTTTTTTTTTTTTTTTTTTTTTTTTGGGAAAAGGTGAGCAAGAGCGTGAGTGGGGTGGAGGTGGATAAGGAGGGAGGGAGATTCTTAAGTAGGCTCCACACCCAGTGTGGAGCCTAACTCAGGGCCGATCTCACGACCCTCAGATTATGACTTGAGCTGAAACAGTCCTACGCTTAACTGACTGAGCGCCCCCTCCTGCCAGTGCCCCTAAAAGCCCTGACAGTTTTCAGGGCACATGCTCTGGAGCAAGAATTGATCCAGTACCATAGCCAGGAAAATAAGAGAAGATCTAGGAAAATTTACTTTTTGATTATAAATCTGACCAGGTATTAACAAGATTTTTAAAAATTAGGTAGAAACAAACCCTAGGATTGGCTGCATTTCAGGATACTTGAGAAAAAATTAATGAAAACTTTTTTTTTCCTGTAGTTTAGAATTTCTTATCAAGATCTGTTATAATTACCACTCCTATAGCCTCAACATGTATGGAAGTTATGCTTAAGGAACATGCCTGAAGAGATAACTCTGTTTTGAAGTTCACTATCCATCTTTAAGATTTCTCCATTCCATTCTGTAACTACCAAATATTTTTAGGTCTTCCTTTCTACATTAACTTGTGATAAAGTAAGAAGGGCAAATCTAATTCTTAATGCTATGTAACAGAGCTTTTTATATTAGTCTCACACTGTGCAAAAAGACCACTGAGCAATCCATTTTCTCTATTTCTGGAAACAATCTTAGAAATTTGAAGAACGGTTGTCAGGTAAATTTGTGTACCCTCTCTTTGACTATATTTTATATCTGTAAGAATACTGACTAGCAGCCTTTCTGAAATGGTCTCCGTAACATTTTGATATAGAGAGATAAAAATTACCTTCTAATTACCTTCAAAGGCTCCTTTCACGCCTATAAAACTTACGTCACTGTTCAAAGTCACACAAGACCCAGAAGATAGAAGCCCACGGAAACCAGTCAACCATGACACATTGTGCCCTGTCACACCTACTATGTGCAAGGCACAACTGAATAGGACAGTAAATTAACCAACTGCATACTCATTTTCTTTTCTCTGATTATATATTTCATTTTCCTAGCAAAGGCAAATATTTCTTTACAAGATATTACCTAACCACTTACTGGATCTCCACCTCAATCCTAGTGTGCCACAAACTGAACATTCCACCTGTCTCTTCTCTCTCACTCAACACCCTCACCCCAATGCTCTTCCTTCAAACTGCCTCTCTGGCATGGCAGCAATAACGTCCACCAAGTCTCCTACAGCAGAAACTGCAGTCACCTTAGGCTTCCTTCCTCTTTCATCTCCCCTAATGGTTTACTCAGTCATCAAGATGCTGTGGATTTTATTTCCTAAAATGTCTACTTCTAAATCTAAGATCTTCAAGTCATTGCCATTATTACTATTGCTGCCCTAGCTCTAGTCTCATTTCTCCTCTGGCCTTCTGATAGCCTCTTACTTGTCTACCTGCCCAAAGTGTTAACCTCCCTAGTTACTTTCTATGCTGTTTCTTTTGCCATCATTCTAAACAGAAATATAATGGTAGGTCTCCCTTGCAGAATACTCCCCACAGACCACAAAGCCAAAGTGCTACAAGTAACATGTAAAGCTCTAGTATCCAGTGACCTGCCCTCTACTGGGCCTTCCCACATCACCTCCTAACACCTTCTTTTGTTTCTTCCCTGTTTTTATATCTCTCTTTGGCCTTTATATACAGACGGCCTAATATCTCAATTTTAGAGAGCTCTAGTACAGGCACAGAGAAATGATCCAATCACCCAAGAGTTAGATTACAGGTTTTTTTAAAATAAAGATTTTATTTATTTATTAGAGACAGAGCATGTGTGCACAAGTGAGGGGAGGGGAAGAGGGAGAGGGAGAAGTAGGGTCCCTGTTGAGCAGAAAGCCCAACGCATGGCTGGATCCCAAGACCCTGACATCATGAACTAAGCCCCACTCAGAGGCTTAACTGACTAAACTACCCAGGCGCTCTGAGATTATAGGTTATTTTATTAAATTTTGATTAAGCACATCATTTGATATATAAAATATAAGAAAAATATAAGAAAAACCTAAAAGAAGCAAACAAACAAAACAAAGTTTCAGTGTGGTGTTGAAACTTAATGGAAGTTGGCTTTATAGGCCCTTAAGAATATAGAAAATGTATTGGCTTAAAAAACAGGCATTTGGCTTTTCTAATCAATGCAATCCATCCTGTATATTATACCCTAGAAAATAAATTATAAATCCAGACACTTGCTTTGAATTGTCATTCTGAATTTTTTTTTTTTTAAAGATTTTATTTATTTATTTGTCAGAGAGAGAGAGGGAGAGAGAGCAAGCACAGGCAGACAGAATGGCAGGCAGAGGCAGAGGGAGAAGCAGGCTCCCTGATGAGCAAGGAGCCCGATGTGGGACTCGATCCCAGGACGGTGGGATCATGACCTGAGCCGAAGGCAGTTGCTTAACCAACTGAGCCACCCAGGCGTCCCATGTCATTCTGAATTTTTGGTCACAAAATATCTTTTAGTGTCTTCCATTTCCTGCTACCCATTTTTTTAATTATTAAGAAGAGAGATGTATACTTCAAAAGAATAACAATAAGGCCATTTTCTACTCCAGCAATCTACAATAAACACAAACTGATGTTCTTCCCCCCCATTCAATAATCTTTGTATCTATGACCCAGCCGCTTCAATTACAAATCCTCTTTGTTCAAAAGCCAAGCATGAAATTTTATTAGCTATTAGAACACATTAAATACTCTGCTCTTCACATAAAGGGAAACAGAAATTATAGCTGAAGCTAAAGAAATGGTAAAGAGAAAATGTCTTGCAGAATATTTATTTTAGTGTATACATGCTGTACAATAATTAGGGAAAAACAATTCATTTCAAACTGAATATAAGCTTCAAATATATTCCCTGACTCATGCATAAAGATATGTAATCAGCAACAGTTAAATAAGGAGACTGATGATCTTTTGGCCAAGTATGTTACTTACTTTTGTTTTTTGTTTTTTTTTGAACTACTAAAGCATGAATAAACACAATGGGATGGAGCTTTGATAAAATTCAAGAGTAGTCCTTTATCAGTGCTTAAGTAATATATTCATAAATGCATCTATAAGTAATTATAATAATATTACTGGTTGATACTCTTAAAAACATTATATAAACTTTTGGCAAAATGAAACCTTTAGTAGGGTAAAGGCTACTAAGATAGCCTACTGTTTTGAATTAATACTGAAAAATGTCACACACCAACAGATTCTTCTGACTCTACTTGAGTAGATAAAAAGTTAATCAATCTTAAGAAAATTAGGCAGAGGTGGTAGAAAATGGACAATATAAGCAAGGATTGGCTTCAAACCAACAGTAGGAAAATCTCCTATTGAAAAATTTACTGGGGAAAAAGTCCTCTCCTAGGACAAAGCGTTTTCCTAGTTACTGTAGGAAAAGAACGTTAAATGATACTAGCAAGTTTACTAGAACATGCTAATGGCATTCATATCCTCTTCTAATCAAAGGATGCTGTGCCTGTCAGCAGTGCCCTACAGAAAAGCTAAGATACTGCACCAGGTGAGGGAGAACTCCTGGTACTTCTTACCCTGGCATCATATTCAAGGACAAAAGGAGGAAAGTCAATCTGTTCTGGTGATATGGCAGAGAATAGCTGGTGGAGGCTGTCCACATGGTGGATTTTGTCCTTCAGTCCTGAGACAGAAAAGGTGGTAAAAAACCATGTTGATACCTGATTAAGAGAAGAGAAAACAATTTAAGCCAGTGGCCAAAGTTAGAAATATAAACATGGTTTTGAAGATTTATACTAGGTAGAAACTATGTTTCAAAATTGAAAGCATGTCAGAAAAAGCTTGTAATAAGTAATGTTTTTCAAAGTATGGGTTGTAGTTCATCAGTGAATTATGCAATCAGTTTAATGGATTATGAACAGCAATAAAAACAACAATAAAAAGGAACAACACTACAGTAACAATTACTGGGAAGGCAGTAAGGGTGCGCAAAGTGTTTCAGGAAGCTTTTGCTTCTGTTTAGGTGTCTCTATACTCCTACGTGTGTAGTATGTTGTCATGCAACAGATGCTTCTTACTGTGGATTGTGGGCAAAATCCCCGGCATTATTTGGTAGAATAATTGATTCACTGCTACTCTGAAAATGGTTAACATCTCCAAATTCACAAGCTCTTTTCATTTTTTCAAATGAGACTGAAAAGTTTGCCAATGTTTGATACATTTATTTTTCAGCTGACATTTGGCATGTGGTCTCTTTCTTAATCAATCAAAGCAAATCTTCTGTGGCTGTGGAGCCACCTTTGCTCATTTCACTTTGAACATGCAATCCCTCTATAAAAGCTAGTCTGCAAAATTTGTTGGCTCCAAAAAAAGAAAAAAAAATGCTTAATAGCAAACAATACTTACATAAACTAGGCAACAACTAGAACTTCCAAATTATTGTCCATCTATCTAAATGCCAGTCTTAACTAGTCATGTTTACCAATGTCTTACACAATGGTTCTATGAGGTAGATACAATATTGTTGCTATCCCCATTTCATTTACAGAAGGAAACATGTGCATATGAACATGGGCACTGGGACAGTGCACTACGAATGTACACCTGGGTATGTTATACACACACAACACTCTGGGCATCTGCCGCTGATGTCAATCTTACCACATTTTCCAGGGGCTGTTCAAACCTTTCACATATTTCATGCCCCTAATAAGACAAACTTTCTTCGTACCCCCTTATGAGAATAGGCATGAAAGAACAGAGACAACACTGCACTAACTTATCAGGATCTTGTCCAAGTCTGCACTTGGTAGAGACTCACTTCCTTCATTATTTCTCCCTTACAGCTCCAGATTATCTCTTCTATTGAATTCATAATACCTGAAATTTCCATTGCATTTAGAGCACTTATTCCTTCCTAGTATTTTATAAATTCCTAGTATTTTAGTTTTTTATGTCCATTTCTATAATTTCCCTAGGACTTGGCAGACAATCATAGAATAATAGTCTAAAGTTTTATAAGATACAGATAGAACCATCATTCTCAAAGTATTTGATAAAGAATGAGTAAATAAAGATAGAACTTATTCTACAATGATTTTTCCAGCCTGAGTCACTATTCTATTTTGGCTATACTACCAATGACTGGCATAAGGTCTCAAATATTAACATTACCCTCTGAACCCTCTCCCCTCCCATCTTATCAAGTTTATTTGGAGGGGGTGATGGAGGAGAGGGGAGGCACCTGGCCTTGCTAGAACCAGGCGGGTTAATTTAAATCAAATTAAACAGTCACTTATTTACATACCCCAAATCAGTTTTTGACATCAGTTTCTTTAAAGCACACACTGTTATATATCTCATTTTCTGCAAACTAGAGTATGACACTTTCAGATTAGAAGCTCTAACTACAATTAGCCACAGAAGTAGCTAAGAAACCAGTAAGAGCTATGGAGAGATCACAGACATTTTACAGATTCCAGAAAGAGCTTAAGGAAATAGGAAGATTGTAAAGTCCAAACAGAGAAGCACCTGATGGCTGTGTTAAGAGATTAAACATGTGTGCAAGGAATTAAACATCTATTGATCGTCTGTGTACTAAGCACTGAGCTGTCGGTGATACAGGGTAACAGTGATAGAGCTATTCCTCTAAAGGGGGCTTGGGTTTTAGTAGAGGAGCTAGATTATAAGCAGAAGCATAACAATTACCTAAGGCAAAATGTACTAAATGCAATGAATAGCCCACAGAAACAGGTGAATACCTATATATGCAAGGAGCCCCTGCTGCATGGGAAAAATACAGAACTGGAAGGGCCTAAGCAGAAAACTCTTGTGCCTTTGTTCTCTTGCCTCAGAAGCCTTTTACATGCTGCTTTTGTATGCCTGGCAATTGTTCTTCAGAGCTCAGATCAAAATTCACCCCAGTTAGGAGGATTTCTTTGACCATACTTCCACCCAAAACTGGAAAGGAGCTTCTAAATGTTTCAACAAACACTTTGTTTACTCATGCTATGGCATAATTAGTATTCTGTATTGTATTATCTGATTCTCTAAATAGACTGTAAATTCCCCAATGCGGGGAATGTCTTATACAATACCATATGTAGTGTGTAATTAACAACAACAAAAAAAATAAGGAATTTAAGGTGTTGGAAAAATTAACAATTCGGGCGGGGGTGAGAGTTTCTGGGTGTACTATTTTAATACTCTTTAGGGGTGGTTTAATATTTCTTCATTCTACAATAAAAATACATTGTACTTCAATCTGCACCTCAGGTTCCTCCTCTATAAAATGAGCAACTTAGACTTAACATGACCTTTAAGGTCCCTCTTAATTGTATAGTTCTAGGCCAAGAATCCTGTATATGCCACACCAAACGACATAGTGGGGTGGCGGTGGTAAACTCAAAGAGAAGGTTGGGTTGGGGAGACTAGGCAGTGACCTCAGGCATACAATCTGCAAAAGAGAAAAACATTTCTCTGTCCCATTTTCTGCCATTACCTCCTTCACATCTTCCAGGTATTGGCAAGAGAAAATTACTCAAAGTAGACAGAAGGAAAAACCCAGTTTTCTGTTCAGGGACACTCAAGAGCACTGTCTTTGCTTCTTAAAATTTTAGTTTTCTATAACTTAGCTTTTAATTTTCAATAATTTATGTCATAAATACGCATTTACATAAACTTATGTTACTTATTGCCTCCTATTTTAATGAACCGATGAAAATTTAAAATTTGAAAAAGGACTGTTGTGATGTTTTGTGAATGCTGGAAATTCTTTCACCCAATTACTCACAAACGCAAAGCCAAGAGCATAGGATCACAAAATAATATAAACTAGGAAAAGACTATAAAAGACTTTAGTACATGTGTGTACTCAAATAATCTACTGGAGCCAGAATCAAGAGTGGGTTTAAATAGTTAGTTTGCCTTGTATTAGTAAACTTCAAAGAAGAAAAAAGAGTAGTGCTTTATATGAGCAGTCAATTTATTACCACTTTGGGTGGAGTGTCCTGGAAAAGATCTGAGGAGTACTGAAATCAGAACAGTGTGATTCGATTGTTTTATTATCCCTTGATTTCGTCTCATTATCTTATAATTATAAACACCCCATTTAGAGTTTTTGACTTAGTATAAATTAATGGGTGGATTTCATTACACATGGGTCTTATTCTCTCAATCCTCCCTCATTTTCCCCATTGCAAAATGTTATCAAGAGGTAACATAATGCTTTTCACTTTATATATCTGGTCTTCAGCCTCTGCCCAGCCTGCCACTGACTCCTATTTGAAGCAATTCCAATGTATGGCAGCCAAGGCTGGTGGCTCTAACACTGAAATTTCTGGTAATGTGCTTCCATCAATGTCTCAGGCTGGATAGCTATTTATAGACTCTCTCCTGTGGGGGAGGAGGGATTAAAGTCATATCTTAGCAAAGAGTGGCCACATAGTTTTATAAGTTTAGTACAAAGGAACACTATTCTGGTAAATCTGAATTTGTAACAGAAGTAAAGAAAATTACGAAAATGTTCAAATATTTGCTAAAATTAAAACACCAGTATTAGCCACCACTCAGTCATTCACATTTTCCTTATGTTTTAACACATATCTACCCATCCCTCTATTCATCTGTTGATCCATCTTACTTTTTTTGCTGCATTTCCAAGTAAACTGCAGACATCAGAAAGCTGTCCCCAACTACAGCATTATCTCTAACGAGAGTTCAAAGTTTGTTCAGTTTCTTTGCTATAAAATTTATACTTGATGAAGAGCACAGATTTTAAGTGTACTTTACTGTTTAGGCAAATACATAATATATACATATAAATCCTACTCAGATACAAAACATTTCATCACCCCAGAAAGTTCTCTCATGCTCCTCTTCCCTTATGGCCCTCTCCATGGAGGCAAATGATGTTTTGGTTTTTTCTACCATGGATTAGTTTTGTCTGCTCTAGAATTTCATATAAATGGAATCATACAGCATACAATCAATTTTTATGTAAGGACTCTTTCACTCAGCTTAATGTTTTTAAGATTCTTGTGTGTGGTTCTGTATATCAGTAGTGTGTTCTCTTTCACTGCCAAGAAACATTCCATTACGAGAACATGCGAGAGCTTAATTATTTGTAATCCTTCTGAAGGGCAGCACCTTGGCTGTGTCCAGTTTTTGGGTTGCTATGACTAAAGCTGCTACGAACATTCTTATAGAAGTCTTTTTTGGCACATGTTTTCAGCTCATTTAGGTAAATACTTAGCAGTGGCACTGATGTGTCACAGATGAGGTATATATTTAGTTTATAAGAGATTTTCATAACTCTTTTCAAAGTAGTTGCACAATTTCCAATTGCTACTTATGAGGTAGGAGAATTCCAGTCACTTCACATCATTGGCAGTATTTGGCATTGCCAGTCTTTTAAATTTTGGCTATTCTGGTGGCAGTGTAGTGGTCTCTCACTGCAGTTTTTTTAAAAAATGTATCTTAAGTAAGATATAATTGATACACAATAAGCTGCACGTAACTGAAGTATACAATTTGTTAAGTTTTGATATATGTATACACCCATGAAACAACTAACATAATCAAGAAAAAGAACATAGCCATCACTCCTAAAGGTTCTTAGGGTCCTTTGTAATTCCTCCCTCCCACTCCTTCTCCCTGTCCACAGGTAATCACTGCTCTGCCTTCTGTAATTACATATTAGTTTGTATGCCCTAGAATTTTA